AACTCGCACCTTCTCCACAGCTGCCTCCAGACGCTGCAGCAGGGGTCCGTAGTCCTGCCCGCACAGATCCTGAGGCCACATGCTCTGGGGGACGTGTCCGGTCGCGCAGCCAAATTGGCTGGCAGCGAAGATTTGCAGCACGGCCAGGGCCTTCTGGATCAGCTGCAGGCCGGTCTCTCGCATCTTCTGGGCCTGCTCTGGGTCCACTGCAGCAGGAAGAACCACAAGAAAAACGCATATTAGGAACGCACACATTTTAAAGACTTTATTTTACAAACGCTACAAAGCAAAAAAAACTGTACCCTGTGTTATCAAAGCTACAGTTAAGAAATCTCTGTATACAACAAACACACAGAGTGTCTGACCTTTCTTCTTTGCTCCTGGAGATCTGGTATTGGTCCCTGCTGCGCGTGGCTGCTGGCTGCGTCCATCTGACAAAAGAGGGTTCCCCACCTCATCTTGTGGAAGAAAATGTCAAAGTTATCATGTGAATGAAATTAAAAATGAATCTCATTGCTAGTAAAACCACGGCTCAGAAGGCTGTGTACCCTGGATGAAGTTGATGAACATCTCCAGATCCCTGATTTGCGTTTTGAGCTGCTCCACCAGCTGCTCTTTGACTCTGGCTGGGTTCACTATCTGAGCGATGGCAGCGTCCACTCTCTGCCTCAGCTCCTCAGGTGACAAGTTCCCGATGTCCTCGTTCAGGTTTACATCCAACTTTTTGATCAACTCGTCAATGATGACCTGGAAAGCACAAGACAGGCTGAAGCTTAAACGCCTTTTGCGTATTGTCACTGCCTCCAAGAGGGAGTAGAAGCTTTTGAATGTTAAGGGCATTCTTAAATTTAAACTTGATGGCTGTTTAAATATGTTGCTGTTGAAAGTTGCTTATTTGCACACTCAACAGATAAATGGCCTGTATTTGTATAGCGCATTACTAGTCCCTAAGGACCCCAAAGCGCTTTACACATCCAGTCATCCACCCATTCACACACTGGTGATGGCAGCTACATTGTAGCCACAGCCACCCTGGGGCGCACTGACAGAGGCGAGGCTCCCGGACACTGGCGCCACCGGGCCCTCTGACCACCACCAGTAGGCAACAGGTGAAGCGTCTTGCCCAAGGACACAACGACTGAGACTGTCTAAGCCAGGGCTCGAACTGACAACCTTCCAGCGAACTCCCAACTCTTGAGCCACAATCGCTCCAAATTTGGCCGATGACATCATGGAGATCACTTCGACTTTCTCATGTTTGCATGGCTTCATTCAGTGGCATCACTAACACACAGTTCAAAAGTCTAATGAATAATGGATTGGCTCAGCTGAGAAACTCTTTTGCTCTTAGAGCTTATAGTCGCGAATTAATCTGTGGAAATGTTGTACTTTTAAAAAAAACCCTTATTTAAAAAAAACCCCTTCTGAACATAATGTGATCTCGAGCAGGTTATCTAACAGTGATCTCCCCTAGATAAAAGAGCCATCTTCCTGACAGCGAAATCTTTCGCTTTAGTCTCAAGTTCCTCACCCTTCCAGATCAAACCAACTTTGATTTCTTGTTATATAACCTTCATATATGCTAACAAAGAAATGGCACAAAAATAACTCAAATATAAATATAACTACTTGTACAGCTTTGTGATTACAGGATAACCTCTGTACTTTTTAATAAGTATTAATAGGTATGAGAGAAACAGCTTATCCTTACAAAACCTGGGGCACGCTGAGGTCAGATATTTGACCTGAACTGAAACACGCAAACATCACATTATATCGCTCAGCATAATGTAATGTTTATGAAAGTACTCGAAGACACTTCAGACGGTGGAAGAGCCTGAAGTTTTTATTTGCACTTTGGTGGTTGTAAAGATTAAAAGAGAAACAGGGATTGAAGGCTGTCAGGAAAACCTGTAAACAGCATTTAAGTGCTGTGATGTTTGCATTGACACAAACCCACCTTCTGTCTCTCCATGACGACGGACTGCGGCAGTGAGTCGTAGCTTCCCTCCTGGTAGGCAAAGCGCTCAAGATCATCCAGCTGCGTCTTCAGCTGGAAAATGAGATCCTTCTGTTTTTCCCTCTGTGCTTCCAGACGTTCCCTCTTCTCCCTCTCACTCTGACAGGAGAAAAACACAAACAGTCACTCTAGATTTTACAGACAGGAGGAGCTGACAGTGTGAGCATCACAACACTGAAACAGCATGTAACATGGTAAATGGCCTGTATTTATATAGCACTTTACTAGTCCCTAAGGACCCCAAAGCGCTTTACATATCCAGTCATCCACCCATTCACACACTGGTGATGGCAAGCTACATTGTAGCCACAGCCACCCTGGGGCGCACTGACAGAGGCGAGGCTGCCGGACACTGGCGCCACCGGGCCCTCTGACCACCACCAGTAGGCAACGGGTGAAGTGTCTTGCCCAAGGACACAACGACCGAGACTGTCCAAGCCGGGGCTCGAACCGGCAACCTTCCGATTACAAGGTGAACTCCTAACTCTTGAGCCACGATCGCCCCATGTAACAAACAGACACCAGTGTGGACGCTTTGCCAGCATCAACAAATGGAAATTTTGTTCCCAGCATTTTCCAGTTAAGATGAAAACACACAAAAAAACAGAATATTTGGGCCACTTCAAGGTCTGACAAACACTGAACAGGACTTTTACACAAACCAAACTCTCAACGAGACATCAGGTATCGCTTCATACTCACCAGATCGCCCTGCAAGCAAAGCATGCAACAGGGGAGACAAAGAAAAAGGGCTTTTAGGTCAAACACATGAGGAAAATCTATAGTCACACACACAGCAGCTAACGAGGACAAGGCTGTGGCCGAAGAGGGGTTAAAAAGAAGAAGAAGAAAAGGAACAAAGCAGGTGGCTTCAATTTCCCTGTGCAAACACAAGCCTTTATTAAACAGACTGAGATCTGCTCGAGGCATTTTTATTGAGCCTGCGCCGCTGTGACTCACACGCCTGTGACAAAAGACAATAGGAGACATTTTTTTTCCATGAGAGATAAGAGTTCTGCAGGAACACACAGGTGGGCGCAGCAGGCAATCCTGTGATGCAATAAAGACACTTTAATCAGAATAACTGGCTGCTAGAGAGTAAATGTGTGCATGTTGGGCAGTTTAATAGCGCTATGAGCATTTACCCATCAGAAAAGACAGAAAAGGAGGAGGCTGGAAAACGAAACCAATTAGTACAGGTATGCAATGTTTATCCAATTTTAATGCTGACACAGAAACAGCTTTTCAACCTTTTGGTACAAAATACCAATAATATACAGCAATCCTAATATATGGAGTGAATGTGAGTAATAATAGGAATCAATTACAGAGCAACACAAGGAAATATTTATTTTAAAATTATGACACTTCTCGTCTGCGCACTGTCTGGAGGAAGTATAAAATCAGAGTCCTCACCGAGTTCTCCAGCTGCTTGGTGTCCTGAGCCCTGCAGCCCACCACATGCGGGCATCCCCTGAAGGCGAACTCCTCCAGGTCTGCCAGCATCCTCTCCTTCTCCTCGCTCTGTGCGTGAACGATCTGCTTCAGTCTGAACTGGACCTGAGCGAAGTGAGAGGTGAGTGCGAGGAGAGAGGAGTTTAGTAAGTCCTGCTCCTCCTCGAGCCTCCTCAGCCGGGAGGTCATTTCCTCCTCGCTGGCCGACGTCGAGCATCTCTGCCTCGAATGAGCGCCCCTGCCGCAGCTCCCGCTCTCATCCTCGGGGCTAGCCACAGCGCCCACCGGAGCCCACCGCTCCCCTGCTCCGGCTAGCACAGCCTCGCTATCCGAGGCTGACAGCTCGTCTGTGGACATCTTTGAACAGCCGACCTCGCTTCGGAACCGTGTCCGCTTTAATGTCGACGCTTGGAAGATCGTTTATTTTCTAATGCCGAGCCGAAAACAAGTAGAATCAACACAGACAGAACAGGTGCAACGCCATCTTAGGAGGAAGGATGATTCACACGTCAAAACGCAGGCACGTCAAGTAAACGGAGTCAATTGCCGGAAACTGGGCTCGCATGTCTTCAAAATAAAAGTTTAAATAAACGTTTACCTTAATATCGGAAATGCATACGTGCATAAAAGGATGAGCTAAATGAGCTAAAGGGACCCCGTTGGAAATGAAACATTTAATTATATCTTGAATGTAATTGCACTGAGTACCGGAGGAGCAGATCAGCTGATCCCATTCTGCACTCAAAGGAAAATCTACTGGACCTCACAAACGAAATAATTCTGTGACTTACTTTTCATTAATTACCCCACCTGCCAAATCCCATTTTAACGTCCCTCTATATATTTATACAATGTATAAAACACACCATTACTGCGAACATGTAACTTTAAGCTTTCGATTAATGTAATAAATAATTTCACAGTTCATTTAAGTGTCGTATTTTTATCATTTGTTTTTAAATATTTTATTTTTATTTGTTGTTTTAGCTCTTTAAAAAAACAGTTTTGATATTTAATCAAGAAACTTACTTCTCCGGGTTAGACTATTATTTTGAAACGTAGAATCGGATGTTTGGATTTCCACTTAAGCTGTAATTTTTACTGCTGGTAGACAGGAGGCAGCACGAGCCCACATAAAAGCTGAAATCACGGTTTCAAAAATAAAAAAAAAATAAAAGTCAAATCTCCAGCAGTCCGACGTCAGCCTAAAAAGTGAAATTCTGTGCCGGAAGTAAGGATAAAGGAAAACAGGCCAGGTAATCTTTTACGTGAAATTGTAGTGGACTTCCTTATTGTAACACCTGTTTTCTTTTTATCATTTGCATGGCCTTTTTGAAATGTGACAAAGGAGAACAATTATTTCTACTTATACCAAAGAACAAAATATATATTATAATGTTATTTATAGCAGACATTGGCACTGTAAAATAAATATAAAACTAAATATAACAGCATTCATAAACTGCATTTTCTTTTTTCACAGCCCTTTCTAATAAACCACAATAAGTGACTGGACAACTTTTAATAATGTCACTTCTTTTTTATTGATTTAATGGATAATGTGACACTTTGACAGGGTAAGATCATCCAAGCATGAATTTCTTCACCTTTGCCTCATTAACACAGATTACTAATCCAATGCACAAAATTATGAACCCAAGATTTAATGAGTAATTACACCACAAAATCATTAAATGATCAGACTGAATGTTCAGAATGATGAAAGATATTGAATCAGGTTTTGACTGATTGACTATTATTGATAAAGAAATAACCTTTTCAACAGAAGGCAGCTGCAGCAAGTCTTAAAGAAACAGATGACTGACAAGTGGAGTGTTTCGATTGTCTTCTATTGTGGATGGAGTAGCATTTCAAGTGACAAACTGAGTGTGCTTGGAATAACAAAGATAACTCCTTAAATACATTAGTCACACGGTCATCTATATAATTAGGTGCATTCAGACCAAAATGTTCAACTTCAAGATTGCAAACATCTTAGCAACTGAGGTGCAAATCGTTTTCAAAGTGTCATTTAAAAACAAAGCATTTTGAAATTAATGTAGAATTCTTTCTCCATTAGTGCGTTATATGCAAAAACTAAAACTAGTAACAGTTTAGAGGTGGTGTTTTCACACAATTAGGGCTCTTTTTTTGTTGGCGACGAACACGTGCCAGTTGGGCCAGTAAAGCTTGGAGTTCTGGATGCAGGAGTTTTCTTCCGTACAGGTGTACCCGGTCGGGCAGCAGTGCTTCATGTCGCTGCAGCACACCGCCTAGAGGGAGGACAGAGGGAGGAAAGTCTGTAAAAAAAACTGAATGGTTTACTTAACTCATACACGCTCCCTTTTTATTGGCACAAAACCTCACAATTCAGACGTTGTGATGCTTTATAAGGCATTTTTTTAAAAAGATGCTGCAATGTAAGTACAGATTTGCCTTTTAGTATTACATGAAAACACAACAGTAATACCACTAATTTTTTTAAGTAGCAAAGTTCTCCTTATGGCTCTGTTTAGAGGCCTACATATTTATACAACATATTAGTTTAAAACCTATTCATGTCAACAGTGGTTTAACCTACTAATTTGTTTACAATGGAGCTCATGTTGAATCTCGAGCAGTGAATATATGTTTACAAACTAATTAGAGGGTAAAATGGTTGAGTTTGCAGTCTGGTAAAAGGTAACCTAACTGTGTAAAGGGTTATAATTTCACTGAAGGATGGAACTGAAATCTAGGGAATTACTGTATATAGTACAAAATGAGGAAATACTACTTTGGCTGTAAAATAAAATTACTTTCATCTGCTGACCTAAAACTGGACTTTCCAGGAGTGATCTCAAAATAGCAGTGAGCCTGAAGGCAGTCAAGAGGTGCAGCCTCCCTTTTCTGAGGTAAGCATATGAAAAATTTTGGAGCCCTTGGCTTACTGACAGTTCTCAGCTCTCCCTGACAGTTAACATAAAGCAGGAGGAAGGAAGCAGGACTAGTTTCTGTAAATCATACGTTAGAAGATGGACAGCAGCCCCAGGAAGTGGCAGAAGTCCTGCAGCAAGTTTCATCATGCCCGCAATTGGTCTGTTTATCGCACTTGATGTCTTTGTGCTTTGTTGGGCTGAGCTGGGGTTGAGGCTCAAGTAGATACACCGGTGTCAGTGGGACTCTCTCCAGCTGCATCATGATGAGCTTCTGGCAGGATCTGGATAAGATGTCACAGGTGTAACCCTGCGGGCAACAGTGCTCCTTATCCGGACAGCAAACAGCCTGCAGACACATAGTTGGTGCAAATTATAGTCCCCAGTTTGCATAGGCAAAGCCTGACCTGATGAGACGGCTACCAGGGTATATGATATTTTCATGCACTCACATTTTTGAGTGGACAGCAGCCCCACTCGCCTGTGAACAGCTTGCAGCAGCTGGTTTGTTCAGGACACTGGCTTGCACCTTCGCACTGGACAGAGTAGGGCTCGGCCTCGTCGCTGGTAATGGCTGGAATTTTGGTGTACCATGGAATCACAACTTCTCCTTTTATGCACGACGTGCGGCTATTGTCACATTTGTACTGGTTAGGACAGCAGTGACTCCCATCCTCACAGCACACCGCCTGGGGAGAAGTGAAAACATGAGCAGTGGCTTTCACTTCATCAATTCTGCTGTTTCACTTCTTTTTTCATTGGTGTATATATAAAGGTTATAGAGAGTCTGAAGAAGATGCTGAAATTCTATTCTAGAAACTTAAAGACACATCAGTTTATAAATGACTATTATAAATTCAGAGTGGCAACCAAAATAAAGTTCATTCGAGTTCATTTGAGTGACTGTGGCCTGTAAGCTGCTAAAGTCGCCAGTTCTCAACAGGAATATGAGAAAAGATGTGAAACAGAAAAACAGGATATCACCATGCAAATTAGGGCTAAAGATGATGTGTGCTTTTTTGGGGCTTGATGAACAGGTGACATTCAGTTAACATCTTCCGTGACTGCAGTGTGGGCGGCAGGTTTTTCTTTCATAAGCTTCAAAGGAAGTTTTAGGAATGAAAAAACTCAGCCGGCCTAAAAACTGCTTGGTGATCTGTGTGGTTCCCCCGCCCTCCACACACACACTCACACACATACCTCACACCACATGGTCTAAAATAAACCATCTAATCCTCTTTTAAGATCTCTTGCAACTTCTTCAGGATGTTTTGAATCTTGCCAGGTCCTAAAAGAGGTTGGCTTTTAAAATGATCTAAACTATCTTATTTTCTTGTACTGGATTTTTCTCTTTCTTGTATTGTAGAAGGACAAATAATCTTCAGCTACACAAAAGACATCAACAAAACCACTGTGGTGTAAAAATAAGCTTTTTTTCAAAACCTGGGAAATGTTACTGACTGCCCAAGGTGTGTAATAACTGACAGTGTGTTAGTGTAGAGTTAGTGAAGCATTTCTTTACATATTGGAGGATTAAATGACAACAGCTTTGCAAATGAAACTGTGCTGTACTGCACAACTTATTCAAGCAATATGTTTGATTGGTGTTTGTGGACTGGCTGGTAATCATAGTAAACATCAACTGCCTCAATTGTGTTGTGTGAAAAAAATTAGTGTGGAAGTATGACTCATAGATGTGACACATACGTGTAAGCATTGTTAGGATGCAAAGTAATAGTGACGTTAATGTTGACTCTTCCAATGACTGCCAATAGAAGCAACCATTTTAGAAAAGATGGATGAGAACAAGACCTTATTGACACTTTCTGTATGTCCTCCTGTCATTATAAAATTAAACTGCGACAAATATGCGCTGGGCTGCTGCATATTGATGTTTAATAACAGATGGAGGAGACACGAGGTCAGTGATGCTGTGAAAAAGCAGAGCTCACCTCAGGCAGCGGACAGCAGCCCCACTTTTTAAAATTCTTCATGTAGCAGCAGGTGGTCGACTGAGGGCAGCTGGTGTGGGCATCACAGTTAATCATGCCTTCTTCTTCTTTGTCCTCCTCCTCCGATTTAGCGCTTGTTGTTGGACTCTCAGTTGTAGGCTGCACAGTAGTAGGTGCTTCAGTAGTGAACGCAGGTACCTTCTGTAGCATGGGAGTTGAGCCTGATGGGCCATTGCAAGACACGGTGGTCGGGTCACAGGTGGTGCCGCTCGGGCAGCAGTGTTTGTGATCGTCACAGCAGACCGCCTTTTATGCAAAAAGACAAAAGTGCAGTCAGTCACAGATAGTCAAGTTCAAATACAAACAGAAGCCTGACAATGCTTGGCAGAGCAATGTTGACAAAAATAAAACAGGTTAAATGCAATGTAGATTAAAGATATTATTTGATATTTCTAGAAATACAACAACCTGCTTTTATTTTTTGTCACGCACTACACAAACAAACTGTGTCTGTGCAGAGGCTAGCAAAGACAAGGGTTAGTGCAGTCACAGAACTTTCTTTTGTTTTTAAGTAAAGTGGGTGCAGCAGTAAATCATGTAACACACTCACCATTACAACGCACTTGTCCAGTCTTACTGACCTCAGAGTAATTTTACACTCTTAACAAGTCACATTTTTAACCACAGACTCTTTATTTTCTGTACACTTTATCTACATCACTCCATCATCAACCACGAAACCACTGTGTCACCGTGGTGGTGTAAAGAATATTCGCTTTACTAGCTGTAACTTAGCCAGCAACATGCTTAGGCATGTATTGGTAGCTTTGTCACTGTAAGTCAACTTTTACCTCATCAATATGATACTCAAGTGGTCTTCAGTTTTTGTAAAAGATGCAGGACATACAGCACGTACAGCAGTTTAAGCTCCTTTAACTAACAGGTTCCTGGTGATAGCTGCATGCAGCCATCCAGAGTGACGGAACTTTAGGTTACCAACAGTTTTCTGTTTGGTGTAAATTTGACATTCTGTGTGTGTTAATAAAGTACTTTTGAGAAATGTGGTCTAAAAACCGATTTCAGTCCAATGCTAACCTCTGGCAATGGACAGCAGGCCCAGCGACCTTCTTGGGTTTTACAGCAGGTGGTGCCATCAGGACAGGCTGCTGTGTGATCACAAGGAACTTTCTTCTCCTCTGCCTTCTGCTTTATGATTGCAGGAAGCTTCTTGGCCCAGGGCACAGACATCAGGCCGCCTTCACAGGTTTGAGCCTCCAAGTTACATTTCTTCCCTTTGGGACAACAGTGTATGAAGTCTTCACAGCAAACAGCCTGGAATTAGGGCGAACAGAATACCATCAATATATTTAAAACACCTTAAACTGCAAGTAATTATACATTTAAGCAGAAATGTCTAAATAAATGGCAGACGAGACTCAGTAGTGTGTGTTCGCACTGCACTCCCCTCTCTCCTCCAAATTGAAAAGCATTTTAAAAAATGGATGGATAGATGGTAATACTGTACCTCTGGCATTGGACAGCAGGCCCAACCACCTTCTTGGGTTTTACAGCAGGTGGTGCCATCAGGACAGGCTGATGTATCGTCACATGGAACATCCTTCACCTCTGCCTTCTGCTTTATGATTGCAGGAAGCTTCTTGGCCCAGGGCACAGACATCAGGCCGTCTTCACAGGTTTGAGCCTCCAAGTTACATTTCTTCCCTTTGGGACAACAGTGTATGAAGTCTTCACAACAAACAGCCTGGAATTAGGGCAAACAGAACACCATCAATATATTTAAAACACCTTAAACTGCAAGTAATTATACATTTAAGCAGAAATGTCTAAATAAATGGCAGACGAGACTCAGTAGTGTGTGTTCGCACTGCACTCCCCTCTCTCCTCCAAATTGAAAAGCATTTTAAAAAATGGATGGATAGATGGTAATACTGTACCTCTGGCAATGGACAGCAGGCCCAGCCACCTTCTTGGGTTTTACAGCAGGTGGTGCCATCAGGACAGGCTGATGTATCGTCACATGGAACATCCTTCACCTCTACCTTCTGCTTTATGATTGCAGGAACCTTCTTGGCCCAGGGCACAGAGATCAGGCCGTCTTCACAGGTTTGAGCCTCCAAGTTACATTTCTTCCCTTTGGGACAACAGTGTATGAAGTCGTCACAACAAACAGCCTGGAAATGAAATGACAGCACAGACAGAAAGGTGTCAATATACTAAAAACACCTGAAATGTTAAACAGAAACTGTTAAATAAATATCAGACGAGGCTGTGGTGTATGCTTATGCCCTGTCCTCGCCTCCTCTGCCTTTTACCCTTCAAGCCTGACAAAGTAAAGCAGTTAGGGAAATGAATTAATAGATGCCCCAGAAGTTTGATTCTGCTCATCTGGACGTAGCGTTTTCAGTGGGAGAAACATTTCATCACTCATCCAAGTGACTTCTTCGGTCTCAGCTGACTGCAGGTTTCCCCAACCTTATAAACAGTACATTTGCACAATGTCTGAAACTAGCCCACTGAATGAACAATGGGCTGTGAGGTCAGTTCCTTGATCGTTACTATGCAAATTGTCATGACTATTGATTAACAACCACTCCAGTCACAGAGAGTTGGGGAAGGCTGTAATCACAGCATTGTACGATGGTGAAAGATGTACCCTTAGACCTCCCCCTCGATTCAGAGATGGTCTTTCCCTTTTCACCCAAATAGCCTCCTTGAATCCCCGCTTAAACGAGTGTTCCTCACTGTCCAGGATGTGTACATCCTCATCACTGAAAGAGTGTCCATTGACCTGTAGGTGTAAATAGACTGCGGAGTCCTGGCCTGACGAGTTAGCTCTTCTGTGTTGTGCCAACGGTTTCGCCACAGGTTGTTTGGGTTCCCCCATGATATAAATCATGACAATCCTCCTGTCACCTAACAGTGTACACTAAATTATTCTGTTTGTGTCGGGGGACCTGATCCTTGGGGTGGGCCAATTTTTGGTCCACCGTGTTTTGGGGTTTTAAAGCCACAGAGACGCGGCGTTTAAAAAAAATTTGTTTCAACTGTTACGATCCTCCTGACACATAATGGATCACTAAGGATTTTCGCTTAGGCAACCAGTTGTCCTTCTCTCCTGGATTGGCTGGAGCTTTCCTTAGCCCCCTTCCCATTACGAGGGTGATAGATTGTCTGAAGCAGTTACAACAAGGCAATACTATTGACCGGACTTCATGCCACAGGCTATGCCCGGGGAATCTACACCAAGTCTGTATAGTGTACCGAAGATACATCAACAGGGTGTACATTTAAAGCGCTATATAAATACAGGCCATTTACCATTGTACATTTAAGACCACTTGACGGTACCTGCATGATTAGGCATGCATCAAGACAAATTAATAGATGGTAACACTGTACCTCTGGCATTGGACAGCAGGCCCAGCCACCTTCTTTGGTTTTACAGCAGGTGGTGCCATCAGGACAGGCTGATGTATCATCACATGGAACATCCTTCACCTCTACCTTCTGCTTTATGATTGCAGGAACCTTCTTGGCCCAGGGCACAGACATCAGGCCGTCTTCACAGGTTTGAGCCTCCAAGTTACATTTCTTCCCCTTTGGACAACAGTGTATGAAGTCTTCACAACAAACAGCCTGGAAACAGAATGACAGCACAGACAGAAAGCTGTCAATATACTAAAAACACCTGAAATGTTAAACAGAAACTGTTAAATAAATATCAGGCGAGGCTTTGATGTTTGCTTGTGCCCTGCCCTGCCCTCCCCTTGCCCCTCCAAGCCTGACAAAGAAAACCAGTTAAGAAAATTGACGGATAGATGGTAATACTGTACCTCTGGCATTGGACAGCAGGCCCAGCCACCTTCTTGGGTTTTACAGCAGGTGGTGCCATCAGGACAGGCTGATGTATCGTCACATGGAACATCCTTCACCTCTACCTTCTGCTTTATGATTGCAGGGAGCTTCTTGGCCCAGGGCACAGAGATCAGGCCGTCTTCACAGGTTTGAGCCTTCAAGTTACATTTCTTCCCTTTGGGACAACAGTGTATGAAGTCTTCACAACAAACAGCCTGGAATTAGGGCAAACAGAACACCATCAATATATTTAAAACACCTTAAACTGCAAGTAATTATACATTTAAACAGAAATGTCTAAATAAATGGCAGACAGAGCTGTGTAATATGTGTTCATCCTGCCCTCCCCTCTCCCCACCAACCCTGAAATTGACAAGCATTTAAGAAAATGGATGTATAGATGGTAATACTGTACCTCTGGCATTGGACAGCAGGCCCAGCCACCTTCTTGGGTTTTACAGCAGGTTGTGCCATCAGGACAGGCTGATGTATCGTCACATGGAACATCCTTCACCTCTACCTTCTGCTTTATGATTGCAGGAACCTTCTTGGCCCAGGGGACAGAGATCAGGCCGTCTTCACAGGTTTGAGCCTTCAAGTTACATTTCTTCCCTTTGGGACAACAGTGTATGAAGTCTTCACAACAAACAGCCTGGAAATGAAATTACAGGATAAAAAAACACTTTAAACTACAAGTAGTTACATATATAAATAGGAACTTTGAAACACATGTGAGACGAGGCTGTGTGGTATGTGTTAGCCCTGCAATAGACAGGAGACCTATCCAAGGTGTAATCTGCCCCTTATCCCATCCCATGAGAGCCAGGATAGGTTCAAGCCATTCCCTCATCCATGAAGTGGACAAGTGTTTAAGAATATGGATGGATAGATGGTAACACTGTACCTCTGGCATTGGACAGCAGGCCCAGCCACCTTCTTGGGTTTTACAGCAGGTGGTGCCATCAGGACAGGCTGATGTATCGTCACATGGAACATCCTTCACCTCTACCTTCTGCTTTATGATTGCAGGAACCTTCTTGGCCCAGGGGACAGAGATCACGCCGCCTTCACAGGTTTGAGCCTCCAAGTTACATTTCTTCCCTTTGGGACAACAGTGTATGAAGTCTTCACAACAAACAGCCTGGAAACAAAATGACAGCACAGACAGAAAGCTGTCAATATACTAAAAACACCTGAAATGTTAAACAGAAACTGTTAAATAAATATCAGACAAGGCTTTGATGTTTGCTTGTGCCCTGCCCTGCCCTCCCCTTGCCCCTCCAAGCCTGACAAAGAAAGCCAGTTAAGAAAATTGACGGATAGATGGTAATACTGTACCTCTGGCATTGGACAGCAGGCCCAGCCACCTTCTTGGGTTTTACAGCAGGTGGTGCCATCAGGACAGGCTGATGTATCGTCACATGGAACATCCTTCACCTCTACCTTCTGCTTTATGATTGCAGGGAGCTTCTTGGCCCAGGGGACAGAGATCACGCCGCCTTCACAGGTTTGAGCCTCCAAGTTACATTTCTTCCCTTTGGGACAACAGTGTATGAAGTCTTCACAGCAAACAGCCTGGAATTAGGGCGAACAGAATACCATCAATATACTAAAATGACCTTAAACTGCAAGTAATTATACATTTAAACAGAAATGTCTAAATAAATGGCAGACAGAGCTGTGTAATATGTGTTCATCCTGCCCTCCCCTCTCCCCACCAACCCTGAAATTGACAAGCATTTAAGAAAATGGATGTATAGATGGTAATACTGTACCTCTGGCATTGGACAGCAGGCCCAGCCACCTTCTTGGGTTTTACAGCAGGTGGTGCCATCAGGACAGGCTGATGTATCGTCACATGGAACATCCTTCACCTCTACCTTCTGCTTTATGATTGCAGGGAGCTTCTTGGCCCAGGGCACAGAGATCAGGCCGTCTTCACAGGTTTGAGCCTTCAAGTTACATTTCTTCCCTTTGGGACAACAGTGTATGAAGTCTTCACAACAAACAGCCTGGAAATGAAATTACAGGATAAAAAAACACTTTAAACTACAAGTAGTTACATATATAAATAGGAACTTTGAAACACATGTGAGACGAGGCTGTGTGGTATGTGTTAGCCCTGCAATAGACAGGAGACCTATCCAAGGTGTAATCTGCCCCTTATCCCATCCCATGAGAGCCAGGATAGGTTCAAGCCATTCCCTCATCCATGAAGTGGACAAGTGTTTAAGAATATGGATGGATAGATGGTAACACTGTACCTCTGGCATTGGACAGCAGGCCCAGCCACCTTCTTGGGTTTTACAGCAGGTGGTGCCATCAGGACAGGCTGATGTATCGTCACATGGAACATCCTTCACCTCTACCTTCTGCTTTATGATTGCAGGAACCTTCTTGGCCCAGGGGACAGAGATCACGCCGCCTTCACAGGTTTGAGCCTCCAAGTTACATTTCTTCCCTTTGGGACAACAGTGTATGAAGTCTTCACAACAAACAGCCTGGAAACAGAATGACAGCACAGACAGAAAGCTGTCAATATACTAAAAACACCTGAAATGTTAAACAGAAACTGTTAAATAAATATCAGACAAGGCTTTGATGTTTGCTTGTGCCCTGCCCTGCCCTCCCCTTGCCCCTCCAAGCCTGACAAAGAAAGCCAGTTAAGAAAATTGACGGATAGATGGTAATACTGTACCTCTGGCATTGGACAGCAGGCCCAGCCACCTTCTTGGGTTTTACAGCAGGTGGTGCCATCAGGACAGGCTGATGTATCGTCACATGGAACATCCTTCACCTCTACCTTCTGCTTTATGATTGCAGGAACCTTCTTGGCCCAGGGGACAGACATCAGGCCGTCTTCACAGGTTTGAGCCTCCAAGTTACATTTCTTCCCTTTGGGACAACAGTGTATGAAGTCTTCACAACAAACAGCCTGGAAATGAAATCACAGCACAGACAGAAAGCTGTCAATATACTAAAAACACCTGAAATGCTAAAGAGAAACTGTTAAATAAATGGCAGTCAGGGCTTTGATGCTTGTGCCCTGCCATCCCATCACCCATCTTCTCTCCCCTCTTCCTCTCCCAACAAAGGAAGCCAGCTAAGAAAATGGATGTATAGATGGTAATACTGTACCTCTGGCATTGGACAGCAGGCCCAGCCACCTTCTTGGGTTTTACAGCAGGTGGTGCCATCAGGACAGGCTGATGTATCGTCACATGGAACATCGTTTGCTGGAGAAAAGACATTGAGAAAAAAATTAATCCACTAATGTTTCATGACTGCCATCGTTGTGAGCCCTCACTTCCACTGACTGAATGTAATAATCATCCTCATGAACCATTTGATAAGTGATACGAACAACCAGCGAGATCATCATGAGATTTTGTCAAATTTGGAATTGACGACAATAACAGTTCCATGTTATAATTACTAAAATTACCTGGTGCACTCTTTGACCACTCGCAGTGTTATGGAGCAATGTCAGTTGTCAGTGAGTTTGAACACGAACAAAATTAAAGAAAACGAAGACGCCCCAATCAATTAAATATTATTTCTGAGTTATGACAGTAAAAAAATGCATATAACATAAAAACTAGTATAATTTACCACAGACTAGGGACACGTCTTTCAATATTTTTGTTTTACTTAAATACCTGTCAGTAAAGACATCCATTCTCTGACTAAGAATTCATGAACTCGAAACTGCAAACATTTTAATTGTATTTAAATAAAAGACTAAAACAATTACACAACTGCAAATTAAATATAAAATGTTTCTCCTGAAATACAAAGTCCTGAATGATCAGGGCCTGTCATATGTTATCCACACCTCATAAAACCATATTATTCCAATAGTGCATTTCACTTTCGGACTGCAGGTTTACTTGTGGTTCGTAGGGTTTTTCGAAGTAGACTGGGAGCCCTCAATCCCAGTTTGGATTGAGGGGGCAAACACCGTGTTTACTGTTAAAACATTTCTTTTAATAAAGCTTATAGTGAGGCGACTTTTGTTTTGAATCGGTGCTATATAAATAAAACTGTACTAAAACTTTAACTGAATTGAATAACTTCCTTGGTCTAAAGAAGCCTGCTTTAAGTCACAAGGGGCAACTGTCCAAATGACTCCAATACGGTCATTTGTGTTGTACCATGATAGAGATGTAATGATGACATTAAATTCAGACCAAATGGTGGAAATATGAGAATGAAGAGGATGCACCATAGTTAAAGCTAATCAGAGATGTGTGTCCTGCTGTGCACAAAACACAGCGAATTTATTGTGAACCATTTGATTGGCTCATGGAGGAAAGATAAATAATTCCTGTCTAAATAAAGATATAACTCATTTATAGTTGGCAGGAACTGAGGAGGAACAGAGCTGTTTTGGGCAGAAGTAATGCAGGCAAAAGCACTGTTATATTAAGACAGCTGCATTCACCACTATTCCTTTCTCTTGTAGCCAAATCAGAGTCAGTTTGGAGCAGTCTGTGTTATATGAGGAAGTATTTACCAATACAGTCACACATACTGGAACAATTTAGATGTCATGCTACAAAAGCCATTCTTTAAAAATAAAACTTCTCCTTTTTCCAAGTACTTTTAAAGGTTGACTGTCAAGTTTGATCTGTCAAACAAACCATGTGGTGCTTCAGGTTTCTGCCCCTCAGCCTCAGTGTTTTTTTGTTCCATGACATTGCAACAAAAATCATCACATTAAAAATATATATTTGAATTGAAAATGCATATTGGACTAACAGCAGAACCAATGATGTATATTGCCAAAAGTATTCACTCATCTCTCTTCACACGCATATGAACTTCAGTGACATCCTGTTCTTAACCCAAAGGGTTTAATATGATGTCGGCCCACCATTTGCAGCTATAACAGCTTCAGCTCTTCTGGTAAGAGTTTAGATTATTTATTGTTTATTGAAACTTAAAGTTAGGCTGTGGCTGATTTGAGTGACTGGTGAATGCAGACAGGACTGCTAAACTGTTGATTCACAGAACTGGACCTCTTGACCATACTTGCCATACAAAGTTGTTTTTGTTTTTTTAATACACACAAGAATTGACACATAAAAATAAAAAATGTGGCTTTCTGTGTGGTTATTTGTAGTAACAGCACATCCAAAAAGTGTAAAATTCTATTTGCATGTTACTTAGCAGGTATCTGTATCTGTGCGTTATTTGTTCTTAGCATTCCGGCTTGTCCCACCAAAATGCTTCCACTGATTTCAGAGTGGGTCGTTGCAGCGGCTCCCCCTTTTAGCTTCAATATCATATTAAAAGTTCAAACTGGGCTGCCTGCACTGTAATATTTTGACGTTTTTCATGAGTTACAGTGATGTTTCTGAACAAGCATTATAAATATGTTGTAATAGTTAGCAGGCTTGGTAAGGGAAAAACTACCACCAAACAAAAACATTCATTGAAGACGAGGTGTTGCAACATTTAATTATAGCTGGATAGACCTGCCTATCAGCGCCAGATTTGTCTTGTCATTACCAGGAAATAATGAAACTGGTAAGAGAAAAAAAGATTTACCTGAACCATTAATCATGCACGCACTGGCACACCTAAAAACCGACAATGCCAAAAAAAATGGCCCGAAAGTGAGTCAGTGGACCACCTTTTAAAAAATAATATCTTGGAAAGCATTTGACATACGAAGCAAAAAATTCTCAGCAGTCATTTTAAGATGTTGAAACTTGAGATGGAATCACCTTTATGTGTCTTGTGATAAATCATGTGCTTTTTTTTCCAGTCTCATTGTTCTACATTATTTGTTTCATGGGGATAGGCTCACCTGCAGCTGCCTTAGCAACTGATGACACATTTACTGTCTTACCAGATGGAGGAAGCAGATTGGCTGTGGTGACTTTGGGGGCGTTTTCTGTTCCTGTGTTATTCACTGCTTCAACTGGCACTTCTTCTGGGAACAGAAAAACACAAAGATTAAGATAAACACACACACACACACACTTTCAAATACTTAGTGAGAACAAGGAACTAAGCTTAACGTTCACAGCAAAACAGTCTATTAAAAATTTCTGACCTTTCTGGTTTTCCCAAGCTGCTCTCACTCTGGCAGGGAGCTTTGCCCACATTGGCATCTCTTTCTTGGTAGAAGAGTCAATGCATTTGGAATGCTCGACATCACATGTGGTCCCTTCAGAGCAGCAGTGTATCTTGTCAGCGCAGCACACGGCCTGTTCACATGGAAAATAATAAAACACCATTAAGTCACGATAACTGGACGTCAATGCAGGACATGCAAATCCATAATTTGACTTTTTTGTCATTCATGATCTCACTCATGGTATGGAGTAGCATTTTGTACCTTTGATAGTGGACAGCATGCCCATTTCCCGTCATTTGTTTCACAGCAGGTGGTACCATCTGGGCACTCTGAAATGCCATCGCTGCATAGAACTGTAACCACGAGCTCTGCAACAATATCACATGAACATCAAAACTCAAAACAGGAAAAGGAATAGTGATACGACTGAATTATGATACTTTGGCGGGGAAGTTGAACCTTTTTTGATGCAGCCTCGGCTGTCTGAGCTGCAGTCGTGGCCCTCAGGGCAGCAGTGTTTGCCATCGGGGCAGGAGATTCCCTGATAGCAGTGAGGAAATCAAGAATTATGAATTAAACAAAAGCATTGGAACTGTTTATCTATTCATGCAGTAAATGAAAGATTTCAAAGAGGAAAAAAGGTTCAGTGAAATAAAGAGTAACAAACGACCAGCTGCTGTTTTAGTGCAAGCAGAAACCGCTTTTACAATCTCCAGCCAGTTTATTAGGGACACTTTTTCAGCTGCCATTCTACTAATATATTAAAGCTGGTGGTGGTGTGATGTTTGGAGGATGTTTTCGTGGTGCATTTAGTACTAACTGAATATCTTTTAAATGCCACAGCCTGTGTGCTGCTGACCGTGTCCATCCTCGTATGGCTGCAATATACCTAACTCCTGATGGCTGCCTCCAGCCGGTTAATGCACCACACCACAAAAGCTCAGACCAGCTCAACGTAGTTTCTTGACATGACAATGATGTCAATGCACTCAAAAGATCTCCACAGTCATAAATCTGGGTCCAACAGAACACTTTTTGAATATGGTGGAAGAGGAGGTTCACATCATGGATCTGAATCTGATGTTATCATGTCAATGTACCAGAATCTCTGAGAAACATCTCTTTGCAAAGTTCAAGATGCAAAAAGATATTTAGTTAGTAACTAAAGGTGCTTGTTATATGAGGAGACTGCAATTATACAACAAGCATGTTATGCGCCATGGAGGTTTGGCTTTTTGAAATGAGGGGCTTGACCAAGCTAGAAGGTGTAGCTAATTAAGTGGCAGGTAAGTTTACATTAAACTTGTAACAAGAGCAAAAATCTATTCCAAAGCACTGAATGTCCTCGGTAAAGTGTAGAAGCTTAGTGGGTCAACCAGCTATGCAAACAAAGCATCAAAGAAAGATCCTCTTTTGAGAGGAAGTAAGCTCTATCACTGTGCAAGTGTCTTTTTCATGGCATCGATTAAATGGTTAGGGACTTTGCTGTTTATCAGTTGAAAGACCGTTAGCTATAAATTTGGAAATTAAAAAAGATAAATCCCTAAATTGAAATTAAAATAAAATACAAGCAGAAAAAAAAAATGAGACAAGACATAAATAATTGTTGCGTTGGTGCTGGTGAAAGATACTGAAGTATTGGTCATACATAACAAAAGGATTTGTAGATCTGAGCCAATTTCTGTTAGAGCTTTCCCTTTAAACAGAAGACTCAAGATGATAAACAAAAGTCTTCTAAAGTGCATGTTGTTTAAATAGATTCGACTTCCTACTGTAACCCAGTGACATAAAGACATCTTTTTACTTTTTCCCACGAGAGCCTGTGGGTAAGGGAAATATCCATAGCTTTCCTAATGGATGTTCTGTAACAGCAGGTGGAGTTGTTAACAGCTTAAATGCAGTTTGCAAAAAAAAGTTAAGATTTATTTAGAGTGACTCTTTAGAAAAGCAAAGAGAAGGGAGGTGTAGTTTTACCAAACTGTACTATGTTGTTCAGCACCGACCTTTGTTATAGTGGTGTGATTCAAGATGCAAAACAGAAGTGAAAGATGTTTAAACATGCCGTACCCAAAGTACAGTAACAACCAGGGAGCTTTAAAGGAAGTGAGATGATGCTGGAAATGAATATGACAATAACTAAATATGACAAGGGGACAAAATACGTGAACCTGTTATCCAAAACATCAAAGCTACTGACAGGTGAAGTGAATAGACAACCATCTTGTTGCCATGTACTTAGTAATCATATGCAAGTTAATCTGATATGTACCAGTCACCCAAAAATTTGCAGACTAACTCTGCCACCAATTTCCTGGTAGTGAAAACTTTCAGAGACCCTGAGTGAGTACCCCTTCTGATCAGAGCTCTTTTGGCTGCACAATATTAGAATAACGAGTTTTAATCATGTGGTTGATCGGTGTGTATGTATGGAAATCCCCTCCTAGATTCAAGATTCCTTCACAGGAATGAACCACAAATAAAAGATTAGTGTCATCACTCACTTTGTTTTTCCACTCAGTGCTACTTAAGTATGTGAAGCACGTCTTATTTGTGGTGGTTAGCTTACCTGAGTTAGAGGACAGCAGCCAAACTTCGTCAAACCCTTCAGACAGGAATACTCAGCAGGGCATCGTGACAGGTCGGGGCAGATGTTGTCGTCTTCCTGACTCTCGTATGTCTTGATCATCCTGAAGGACTGAGTGGTCAGAAGGTGGGAAAGAGGACAGTATTACTTCTTTTAATCCACCACGATTATTTAATCTGACTTTGTGACAGAAAACAACTAACGTGTGACGACGCTTACTTTAGAGACTTTGGGCTGATCAGCAGGGGTTCTTTTCACCCAGGGGATGGTCAGGGTGGTATTAATACAGCCAGATAAGGCTTTATTACAGACTGTGCCCTCTGGACAGCAGTGGATGTGATCATCACAGCACTCAGCCTGAGGAGACAGCAGTAGTAGAAACACTTTGACTACCAAAGTTTGAAACAGCTATCACATTGAGGGAAAGCGGCACGTCCTTCTATCTGGATTTCAAAGTAGTAAAACACAGCTGAGGGTGAATAGTATCGCTGCATAATTATATTTACTTTAAAGTATAAGTGAAGGGTTATCTCACATGTACATTTAACTATAGACAAAGGGACAATTTACCTACACTGAAGGTGACGTACTGCAGCTTTGCTCAGTAGGTTAGGATGGAATTCCTCCCTTTTGCACTTTTGGAGTTATTTTAAAACAGAAATCTATAGAAGATTTTGTCCAGTTACCATGAAGATGTGAACACTACACATTTTACTCTTTAATATTTACATACTTGATGACTAATAAGCTGGGCTGTTTTTAGTCTATAGGAATGCATTTAGTTGATGTGAATGAAACTGTTCATACTAATATATAAAGCTAATAGATTTTTATTGATTTAAACAAATGTCGTATAGCAAAATAATTTACAACAGGTCTGATTCTGGTTTTAGTTAAACCAACTCATCAATAACAGCAATCATTTCTTCTGATTATAATTGTAGATGTCCGACGTCTCTCAGAAACGTTTCTATACATTTGTTTTTTGTTTTGTTTTTAGAGATTGTGAGATTTTCATACATCAAAACTTGGTTTAAATGAGTTACTAGCAGAACATGAACCCAAATGGATATCCGTTGGGGTCCCCCCCCCACTCTTACTGCAAAAAGGAAGCCAATTAAAACAAGTACAATAAATATAATTACATTGTCGTGAACACTCAAGTTGCATGATGGTATAATAACACCTGGCCTTACGTTTTCATATCGGCAACACCCGTAACCGTTTGCTGGGCTGTTGCAGCAGGTTTCCCCTTCTTTACACAGCCCTCCATCTGGACACACATCAGCACCAACCACAGCCAGGGCAGCCCAGCAGATCACAACCCACTTCTGCATCTGGAGGGGGAAAAGCAAAAGGCACACAAATGGAAAGTGAAACTGGCGGAAGGGGGGGATTTCTCTTTCACTGACCACCACGATAAATGATATTTGTACATTAAAATTCTGCACACATTCTTGATCTTATCAGGTCACAAAGAGTTTGATAACCATGCTCGGGCAGTCATGCCAGTGGTGTCTCGTTATATTCCTTATGTCTGTCTCCAAAAAAACCGAATCTCGGCTATCTGGTCAGCTCGGTTCGAGTTTTAAAGGGAAAATGTCAAATAAAAGTGATGAACCGGGTCTAAACACTGAGCTCAAATGTTGTCTTTGACAAAATAGTGGTTTTCTTCTTTCTCCAGATGTTCAACTTTATTGAAGATGTTTCTTTTATCGTCATATGAATAAGCAAAACAAATGCACAGTCTAAAATGAAATAAATCCACTTTCACTTTCGTCTGGTTTATATTCCTTATTTAACCTAAAAATCTAGCCTCTCAGGGGAAATTCTGAGCGACACAGTTGAACTCTTTATATTGCAAGATAAATACACAGACTGTGAAACTTAAAACAGCTTTTTATAAGGCCCGCACCGATACATGCATAAATGCAATGATAGACGAAATAAAGTTTTTGATGCTCTTACCTTTATTGAAAAAAAATGAACAGAAGGGCTGTTGTGAGCAGGTGTTTCACAAGAGTCTCGCCACAAAATGACACAAATGATAGCCTGCAGTCTTGAACACACCCCGAAAGGGGAGGGAGAGGAGGTGCCTTAATGTTGCTGTACACCTTTTAACGCCAGCTCTGTCTCTTCAATGAATCAGTTTTTAATATTCATAAAACAACGTAGTACAGGCATAGTTGAGAATTTCAAAGAAGCATATTTATTTACAGCCATTAAAAATGCAATAAGAGCCTGTGACTAATAAGAAAATACGGATTGCTAACGATATCACGCTGTTTGTGTGGTACAGTGTTTGGCTGCCAAAAAGTTTCTGGTATTTGCCCGAAAATGATCGGCCATATTCAGACGGTTGTGCAAGAGTTTTTTGTCTATAATCTGTCAAAAATAATAATAACAATAATACTATTTGCAATTTCGGTTTTTTTATCTATCTATCTATCTATCTATCTATCTATCTATCTATCTATCTATCTATCTATCTATCTATCTATCTATCTATCTATCTATCTATCTATCTATCTATCTATCTATCTATCTACTTTTCAAGAGACATTTGGCCAAGAGGGCAGCAGACACACAACATAACTTATAACATAACACTTCTATCAAGATATTGTAACTGAAGAAAAAGTAGCGGGTTAATTGGAATGGAGACAGAATAAAGCAAAGTCATGCTAAATAGATCATGTCTTTATTTTGTAACCCTTTCATAAATCATGTTGACTACAGTTTATTTATCAATGTAAACGTCTGGGAGGATTTAAACGCGGCACTTTAATTACAGTGTAATGAATGGATGTCCCTTTTTTTTCTTGTGTAAAGTGTGATGCTTCGTTGTTCAGGATACGGATACGCCTGACTAATGGAAAAACTGTTTTTCATGTGTCAGCGAAGTGCAATGGGTCCTCCAGGTGGCGCCAAAGCAACGGTAGCGACGGGGGGGCGGCGGGGCGGGGGGGGGGGGGGGGGGGGGGGGGGGGGCGGCGGGGCGGGGCCAAGCGAGTCCATTCCTGATCAGTCCGGATCTACAAATCATGCGCACAGGCCTCCTGCGGTTATGATACGCCCATGACTGCGCGTTCATGATTATGAAGTCGACGTGCATAGCTTGTAACCTGCACTCTGAGGCGAGCTAAGCTGCCTCCAACAAGATGTTTACGGGTTATCCACGGTGGAGCACCCGAATAATCAGACGAAGCACGGCAGAATGGTGTAGCTCTTAACTGATATGGGTGAAGACACCTGTGTGTTTCCCGGCAACGCTCATAGCTAAAGCAGAGGTGAGAAACGTCGCTTGTAAACAGCTAGCTAGCTAGCGACTCAGATAATGTGCAGTGAAACGCAGGTGGCTGACAGCACATTTCAGAAAGGTTTGCTTCAGTGAATGTGATCACTGCATTCACAGCTGCCTTGAAAGGCAGCTATTCCTCCTCTTATCTATCTGGACTTCACATGTTTTAATTCTATTACAACCAAAGTCAGCTAACTTAAGTGGGGGAAAGAACACAATGTCCTAGCACGCGATGTCTTCGTGCACCCGCTGTGTTATGCAGCAGTTTTTTTGTTTTGTTTTGTTTGCAGAGAAGCATGTAATCTGCAGTTTCTCATGTTCTGTCAGCACATGTGAAATGTTTATCTGGCGTCAGACGTGACAATTATCCATGCAGCATTGTGTAAGAGAGATTAAAAAGGGAGAAGGAGCTGTTGAGCTGCATGTGTGTTGTGGGCACTTGGTGGAAGGAGACTTGGCCAGACAAAGAAGCTTATTGGGAAGACCAAGGCTGAGGGCTATTCTTGTCACTCTAAACTATAATAAAGTTAGCCAAGGAAGCAGAGGTCAACTACACAGTAAGGAAGTTTTCACAATGCAGTGCATGTTTTCTTTAACTTTATTTTGTTTAAACAAAGTTGTCTGGTTTTTTTTTCTGCAACATGCTCCATCATTTAGGAGTGGGCAAGAAGACAAGGCATGCGTGTTATAGATAAGTTATCATAATGCTTTAACAACTCCACCTACTGTAGACTCACCCTTCCTACTCACATAGTTGTTCTTTTTGCACTTAAATTTGTGTCAAATAGAAATGATGAACTGTGTCTTAACAATGAACTGAAATACTGTCAATAACAGTGCTTTTCCTCCTCCAGATGTTCCACTTCCTTTAAGTTGTTTCTTTTTATCATCATATAAATAAGCCCAAAAAAAGAAACCTGGCTTCCAGTTTTGTCTGGTTTATATTTCTTAATTTCCTTAAATTCAAGCTTCTCAGAGTGAATTCTGAGCATTATATGACAGTTTAACTCTTCGTAATGCATGGAGACGAATACAAAGTCTGTGAAACTTGAAAAGACTTTTAAAAAGGGTTTTAGTGACAGTAATTTGAAGGCTCTCAGGAGCAGGAGTCACACACTAGGAATTGTGATCTAACCGGATACTGATCCAGCTGCAAACTCAGTGTTTGGTTACTGATCCTTTGAGTCACTGACACTCCTTCCTCACAGTTTTACATAACAGGGAGATAGTGTTGTGTAAAATGGTAAGGCAGCTCTGTCAAGTTTAGTTAATATACACCTCGTGTTATCTCAGTTTACATTCTCACACATGTGTAATTATACTTTTAAATTTCACATTTAGATTTGCTTTTTTAGCTTTTTGACCCAAGTTTTTATTGTCTGAAAACTTTTAGTTGTAGTTTATTTTTCAAGATGGGTATTACAACATAATTACACTATTCTTGACTCCAGAACTGCAAGGATTAGACAGGTTATTGAATAATAACTATTAAATTAATCTCAAACTGCTGCTGATAATTGATCAATTAGTTTAAGTGCAAGACCATGTTTGAACCACTACAACTTTTTTAAGGGTGGAGAGCATTTTTTAAAGCTATGGTTTTAAATATTAATGTGATTGAAACCTTGGTGTGACATGCTGTTTCTCTTGGTCTTGACAGGTTGGCAGGATGGGCGAGCGAGGCGGCAGTGGCCCCGTGGCTGCGATCTCTCCAGTGCAGCAGATGCTGGCCTCTGGCACTGGAGCCCTCATCACATCTCTGTTTGGTGAGAAAGAAACAAAGGCTGGAGTTGTTCTCTGTGTCTTAGCATTGGCACTCAGTTAATTGTTTATCAGCTCTTGTGTGGTTGTGATAACTAAATTCATTCTTGTGTTTGCAGTCACGCCACTAGACGTTGTGAAGATCAGGCTGCAGGCTCAGCAGACACCGTTCCACCAAGGTAGGACCTCTTGTTCTTTTGTGGTTTACTGAGTTTGCTTTTAACATGTTTTACTGTGATGCTTTGCTCTTAACATTAACCCCACTAAACCTGTCCTCCTGTGTTTGTGCTCTGTCCTTCGTTTTCATAGCTTCAGCGTCTTTTTCTGCTCCGTGGGATGGTGTCTCACGTCATTCCAAGTGTAAGTATTTGCCCCGCCGTTGCTAACACTTGATCAGATGTAGATTAGCATACCTGGTTTTCTGCTTTAAAAACAAATGTCTTCTGGTAGTGAAAACAGAAAGTTCCCCTTGTAAATACATTCATGTGAATTCTGCCTCCTTTTTTTTTTTTTTTTTTTTTTTTAGACTTTATTTGAAAGGTTTCTCGGTAATCGGCACTAAATAAACCGGCAGAGGCAAGGACAGGACTGTGTTATCTACAGAGCAGCTGTGCGGTCATTGCTTTTGCCTGTATTATTAATGACATTTCTCTCCTGTGTGAAGGCTTGTGTGACTCAGTTTAGGAAACACTTGTAGTTTCACATTGCTATTGTGAGATGTGCTAATTTTGTTTTTTAATCATAGTTGTTTTTTGTTTGTTTGTCTTTTTAATAGCTAATAATCTGAGTGTGGTTTTCTCTTCCTCTGACCACCTCATGTGCCTCCTCACAGGGAAGTGTTTCCTGTATTGTAATGGGCTGATGGATCACATCTATGTTTGTCAGAATAGAACCAGTTGCACCAGCTGGTACAAAAAGCCAACTCAGTTCAGCGGGACTCTTGTGAGTAGTCATGCATTAGTGGCTTTGTTTTTCCTACAATTGGTTTACAATTAACATCATATAAGCTCTCTTTTTTGTTTTTTGTTTGTGCGACAGGATGCATTTGTGAAAATCACTCGCCATGAAGGTCTTCGGTCTCTGTGGAGCGGGCTACCACCAACTTTGTGAGTAACATCTAGTAAAGTTTCAGTACTCGTAGAATAGACACAGAACTGAAGTGTAAGAAGACCTAAATTCAGAATTAAATTTCTTAAACTTTAAGTAAGTACAGTTTTATTTTGAAAGAGTGTAGTATTTGGAGCATTGCACTCAATGTGCATAGCTTCAACTGAATTAAATATCACTGAGTTTTAGAGAAAAGGAAACCGGGAGTGTCTTGGAGAAAAGAGAAGAAATTAAAAAAACAAAAAATAAATAGCAGAACTTGGTTTAATAAAGTACTTCCTTGCGCTAAAGCTGCATTTTAGTACCTGACACGTCAGTCTCATTCTAGTAAAAAAATTTGCATATTATTATAATTTTATGAGAACTTTCCATTGATATGTTGCAAAGTGTGCAGTTCCTCTGTTCGAAACCTTTGTTTGTTTATGTTAACAGGGTGATGGCAGTACCTGCCACTGTCATTTACTTCACCTGCTACGACCAGTTGCGGGACTTCCTGACATTCGGTGTGGGTCTTCAGGGCAGTCATGTCCCTCTTGTTGCTGGGGGTCTTGCCAGATGTAAGTGCATGGAATAAAACAAAAGCTCCCCACACAGAAATCACAGCAAAGTACTGACAGTGCTCTTTAAGTGAAACCTTTGTGTCTGTTTTGCAGTGGGAGCTGTGACGGTGATTAGCCCACTGGAACTGGTCAGGACCAAGATGCAGTCCCGTCAGCTGTCCTACAGCGAGCTGCGGACATGTATCCGCTCTGCTGTGGCCCAGAATGGACTTCTGTCCCTGTGGAGGGGCTGGGGACCCACCGTTCTCAGAGATGTACCCTTTTCAGGTGAGACACATCATGTTGATTACACTTAACATGCTAGTGCGTAGGGATGGGTATTGATAAGATTTTCACGATTCCGATTCCATTTTCGATTCTGTTTAACGATTCGATTCTTTATCGATTCTTTTTAAAAAAGGAGAACATTAAGGTCGATTAGCTCAGAAGTTTGTTTTATATCTTCTCTTTGAACAAGATAGAAATTTAGGAGTAACATGGCCTTACAAACCCAACAGTGAGATCAATGGGGTGTCACAGGGTCCCCAGGAAAAAAAATTGTAAATGTAAAATAAATATTCTTCTCTAGCAATAACAAAGTATAACATAAATTATTCAGTAGCAATTACACAAGAATATCCAGTAATGTCCCTGCCTACAATTAAACACATTCACTTAATGAAAATCGGGGGCATCTGCTGTGGCAAATGTGTTCAAGCCTTTTACCACAAACTTAGTCACTGCTCGGTGACATTCGTCTATCCTGGCCTGAAAGGAGACGCTACCGGTAGACTGCAGCGAGAACTGGCAGCATCTGAGCCAGCCAGACTCTGTCTGTCTCATCATGGTCACCTAAATGCACAGTAATGGCAGGTTTTGTAATAAGGCAGATTGCGCTAACATAATATGCACTGTTAGTTGATTATTTACCTGCCGCATTAACGGGAGAGGACGTGCAAACGTTACCGCTGCTGCTGGGTTGAGATTCACGAGTCCGGAGCGGAATTAAAAACACGACATTCATCTAAGGTTATCGTGTGTTTTGTGAGCAAATGCTTTTGCATATTCGTAGTGTTTCCTCCCTTAAATGAAATATCTACTTTGCAAGTATTGCAAGTTGCCCTGTTGTCATCTGTTCTCGTAAAATATAACCAAACTTTTGAGCGTTTGAGCTGCTTAGGTGCCGTGTTTCCTGCCAGGTAAATGACGCTCCGCAACGTGGTAACGTAATTCGGGGCGACTGGAATCGATAAGGGAATCGTTTGCAAAAATGGCAAACAATTCCAAGGAATTGAAACAGTGGGAACCGGTTCTCAACAAGAACTGGTTTTCGATACCCATCCCTACCAGTGCGCCACAGAAACTTGTCTAACCACTCCTGCAGCATTGTTATTCCACCACTCCCTTCCGTCTGTTCTAAACAGACGTCTTTTTGTTAAAATAGGACTCTTTCCTTGTTGTCATCGATGAAACTCTTCCAGAAGCCTCATAACCATAAGCTTATGAAGCTCACTGCCATAAATCATAAATTAGCTCCACGGATTTGACAAGGAGAACATTTATCCTAGACCTTCGATTTAGTCTCCCATAATAACCTCTAACCCTTTTCGCCTTGAAAATCTTATAGAGGCCCCCTGGTAACAAAATAGGTGTAGCATTGTGCTTAATTTTTACTGCACCGCATTTGAGCTGCAGAATAGATTTTCTCTTTACCAGTATTTATTGACTGTAAGGCTTCTATTTCCACTTCATTTAACTATTTTGATAAGGAGGAAGTAAAAACGTCAATTTATGCTGCTCTTTGTCCTGGTAATTGGGACACGGAGAGCGATTGGCTTCCATAAATTCTCTAGCGTGCTGCTGATGTTTGGAGTTCTTTCTTTTGAGTTTGCAGCCAAGAGGAGCTCGTACTGGTCAAAGTTAAGTGTTGGTTTATTTCAGAGAATTTCTAAATGTAGAAATCCACAGAAGAGCAGCTGAAAAGACAGTAGTTTGACTCTAATGTGGACCAAAGTAACAAATTACCAATCTCTGTGTTTGCAGCTTTGTACTGGTTTAACTATGAAATGGTGAAGGCCCGGCTTTGTGAACAGTCTGAAGTTCCTCAGGCCAACTTCTCTATCAGCTTTACTGCAGGAGCTGTTTCTGGAGCAGTGAGTACTCTGCACACCTGCCCTTTGTTACAGTTGTTAAGCATGTTAAATGTTAGGATATCTGACACCTGTACTGATATCGCTGAAGCAGAGTTAGTTTCTGCTTGAACCCAAATGATAATAAACTTTAAAAAATGTGCCGCTATGGAAAACAGTGCTTTCTTTTGCTCACCTACTGCGATTACCATGCTCATAAATTTATGTGAATGACTTTATAACACTAAAGCACCTGATACCAAAGTCTGAGAGACTGCATTGGATAACTTGGGGGAATCAGGCCAGTGTCGGTCACACATTCACACTGTGATGTTACTCGAGCAATAATTACCCAACTGGTGATATAAATAGTTTCCTTTCAAGTGCAGCTAACATCTACTGCAATTCATGAAAAAGAACTTTTAATCATGGTGGAAATCCACGTAACATGCACCAATGTCTGCAATACTGCACTGTTTGTTTTCTTTATGGACTGATCTTTGTGCAGAAACATTAAGAGTCTGAAACTCTACAGATCCATTGTTTAAGGGAATAAAAGTCTAACTTTGCTGCCTGTAAAACATTCATGCAGATGTGTATCTAACTCCTTTTGTGATGGCTCTTACTGCCCAGTAAACCAATCATTGCTGAGTAAATGTTTCCTGTGTTGCCCTGAACTAAACTGGCACTTAGTCATATTGCATATAGCACAGTTTATGACTCTTTCCGTCTGCTGTGTTTAGATCGCTGCAATCCTGACGCTGCCCTTCGATGTTGTGAAGACTCGCAGACAGATCGAGCTGGGAGAGATGGACACTTTGGGAGGTCTGCGCATGACATGCGTTCATGATGTAGGCACTTACGTTGTGTGAAATTTACATACTGATGTTCTTCTTATGCCCTCTAGTTTCTGTGAAGAGAACGTCATCCACCTGGCACATCATGAAGGAAATACGGGCCGAGTTGGGCTACAGGGGCCTTTTTGCAGGTACACATTTATCCGATTGTATGCCAACTGAAACTTATAATGTGTGCTTTGCATAAAAATAACATGTTTATTTTCCCCAGGTTTCATGCCCAGGGTGATCAAAGTGGCCCCAGCCTGCGCTGTTATGATAAGCAGCTATGAGTTTGGAAAGGCCTTCTTCCAAAAGATGAACCTTGATCGAGAGCAGCTGGCATTGTGAAGGCGGTCACTGTGCCGCTGGTTGTTTGTCACAGCAAAACATGCAGAGAATAATTCAGGACAAGTCTGAAGAGTCAGCCCATTTGTGGAGATTTCTTTTTTTTGCAGATCCACGCACCTCACCACTTACCCCGCATCCCTGGACACAATAAGGAGCCTGAATCCCAGGCAGAGATTTTCTGGGACCACAAACTTTGTGTGCTTAATGGAGTAAAGTTTAAAAGATAGAAACTTTGTTTAGTGGTTATGTAAAGGAACATGTACCAAATCATTGTAGTCTTATTGTGCTCTCATTTTTCCAATGAAACGGAGGAAATGAGGAGTAAATCTCAGTGAAGACCCTGAACCTGCTCACCTGCTATCCAGGACAGTGGGGGAGGGAAACCACCTTAAAGACTGCATCCTTATCGGGTGAAAGGAAAATGTTTCTTTTCCTGCACTTTGGATTGTGCGACAGACTGCATGGTGTGTGCAGGCCTGAAGACTTCCTGTCAATGTAAAGCATGACAATTTTGACATTTATCTGCTGTGTAGATGAGTAAACGATATGGTTCGTATGCTGGATAGATTCGGAGCACTCTTACGTTTGCAAAACAAGTGCTGTGAAATGAAATCATAAAAAGCAACTTAAGCTTCTTTTTAAAAAATGTTTGTAAATGAGGAAAGCCATACTGTGGGTTTTCAAGGATAACCTTACATTAGTTTGGCTAAATTGAAGCAGGCCTTATTGGAATAAATAATACGATTATTCCAATTACGTGACATAATCTTCTGTGAAAACCACTGCAGCAAACTTCTCAAAAGTCACAGATGTCACCAAAAAATGTTGGGAGGCTTGTTACAAAAAGCAATAACAAAAAGGAGAAAGTCTCTGCTCATAAAAGTTTTGGACTTCTTATCTGCAATGAACAAAAACACTGGGTCATGAAACAAAATATTTCTGCCTTAAATTGCAAGCTAAATGTGATTGTGTGTCCTTTGTGTTTTCTTTTTTGTATGTGTGAAATCTGAAGGTGGCTTCATCTTTATGCAATGAGTGACTTATTTCCTATGATGTGGTATTGTAAATGACCACTATTTAATAAAATTTCACTTATGCGTTAAGTTATGTTGGCTCACTATTTATTAGATTACCCAATGGGCACACACATTGATTTGGGATAAAAGTAATTTTCCTTTTAAATCACCAAACAGAAAGTTTGAAATCTTTGGCTGATTGTCTGGATGCTCTCGTCCTGTCCCTAGCATCTGTTACACCAGTCCTCTGCATGTCCTCATATTTCCATGAACCTCCAAGGTTTTGCTCTTTTCCTGGCAGCTCCATTTTCAGGATCCTTTGTCCAGTATCTACTATCCCTCCTCTGTAAATGTCCAAAGCACCTCAAACCATTTGACCTGAGCTCTCCCTCTGATGTACTCATTTCTAATCTCCATTCTGGTCACTGCTGATGAAAATCATAAAGTCTTCTGCTCTGCTGCCTGACATTTTATTAGTGCCACCATCTCCAAACCATCACAGCAGCTCTCACAACCATCTAGTAAACCTTCGCTTACACTTTTGTTTGACCGCTCCACCCACTCCAGCAATGGTACACTTCACCTCCATTCCTCAGGCACCTCCGTCTGTCTTCTTTCTCTCATTTTCTTCATTCATCAGCTCCTCCAAAATACTCTTTCCATCTTTTCAAGACACTCCTCACTTTTTAGTGCATTTCCATCTCCTTAGCCTATCCTGCCGTGCAGCTTTTCCGTTTCTTCTTAGCCAGTCAGTAGAAGTCCTTTTAATCTTCCTTAGTTAAGATAAGATAACATTGAACTTTATTAATCCCTCGGGTGGGTTCCTCTGGGAAATTCGATTTCCAAAAAGCACAGCACCAACAGAAGTTACAGAGTTACAGAATATTATATATATATATATATATATATATATATATATATATATATATATATATATATATATATATATATACACACACACATACACACACATATATAAATACAGAGACAAATGTAAATAAAATATACGAAGGGGATAAATAGAATAAATAGGAATAAAAATAAAAACACAAGTGAATTGCACATTTCAAGTATTGAGGTCTATTGCACCATTGACTATTTACAAAAAGTATTGCACAAGGTATTGTACAGTGAGGTGAAGAGGCACTACAGCTTCCACCCTCACATCCAACTCGCTATAAGCCTTTTCCTCTGCCACCTCTCTCTATTTGTATGCAACTAGCCTCCCAGTACTCCTGTTTACTTTCTGCATTTTACTATCCGACTTAGAATATTTTCTTGTACTTCCTCATTAAACCGCAAATTTTACCTCACCACATTAGCAGCAAACATAAGGATAAATGCTTATTTCTACTTGTATAAATATTAATAAGTCCCCAACACACAGACAAAACATATTAAGGATTGTACATTAACATAAAGCTGTTGTACACACACACACATATGAAGAGAGAGAGAGTATGCATAGTATGCAAACGGCTACCAAACAGCCATCATAATTCGTCATACAATGAGAACAGGACAAATCAACAATTGACAATGACTAATTAATATTAAAATCTGTAACATAATGTATTGTTTGGAGTTTAGTCTGTTACTGTTACTATTTTTTTACCATTTCTTCTTGGAGCAACTGTAACCCACATAATTTCCTTAGGGATTAATAAAGTATTCTGATTCTGATTGTTTCAGGATGTCCTGCCATTATCCAATGACACATCTGCTTACCTGTATCTTTTGCTCGTTTCTCCTCCTCTGCTTTTCTCTTTTTTCTAAACTGAGGACCTGATGGCTTTGAACTTTTCTTGTCCATCTTCCATTGGTTTTAATTTTGCACTCCAGTATGAACACCCATCCCTCAACCCAAGGATCACCACAACATGATCTAACACACCTACACCTTAGTTCACTGGTTCACTTTGTCTAGGGTGCATTTCTGAGATTTCACACAACCCAGGATTCAAATCATGAATACATAATGGTCTTGGATTTACAACATTATAAATGAAATTTGGAAGCAGCCGGCCTTTTCGACGGGTTGTGTGTGAGACTTTAAATCATCAAACTGTAAATTTTAAATTGTTATTGATCCCTTTATCTCGAGTCCTAAAGTGTATATTTATTTTCTTACTCTTCTTATATATATTGTTTGTTTACTTGCACTGCTGTAACTGGAGCCTTGTCGTCTCTCTATATACTGGACTCTAGCGGAGATGACAATAAAGTTTACTTTGACTTCAGCAGCAAGGAGGTGCACCGAGGGCTCTCGCGCTCACTTTTCGTGTATAGAATTTCGAAAAAAACATCGGTGCAAATTATAAGTCTGTATTATAATGTCTGGTATTTTCGTGTTTGTTGGTTTGTTTTTATTTTGTTTTATTTTGCGAGTTGGTTATTAGATGCTGCTCTAGCCGGTCAGAGAATCCCCGCCGCCCCGCCCTCTCCTCTCTGCGCCGCAAGCAGCAGGCGCACCTCGCAAACGAAGGGCGCCCTTACTCCCAGCAAATGGGCGATAGAAAACCGATCGGTGCCTATGACATTCGGGGTCATAGGCACCGATCGGTTGCCGCCCCGGGCAACCGCCCGTGTCGCCCGTATCTAAAACCGCTACTGATGACTAGTATAACATAAAAGATTGTTCATACTGTGTATGAGCGTAACGCAAAATTTGTGAAAGCAAACAGCGGCATCTAGTGGTTTATTTATTTTACTACAGATACTCGTTACCAACCAGGGGTGGAGCTTCTTGGAAGATTTTCACGCTGACTCTCGCGATATTTGCTCTGGTATATACAGGCAGTTTGCCCGTCACCGGGCCTCTTTCAATCGGATCGGAGACGAAATGGTGAGTAATCCTCTTTTGCTGCTTGTACTCTGAGCACCAATCCATTTTCTATCTCATGCATCCCACCTATTTGACATGTATAAGAAATGCAGTTTGATTTCAGTGTATATTTTATGACAGTCTTGTGTAGATTTCACTGCTATTTTCATCCCAAATAAAAGATTTCGGTATGCGTGTTGAGCGACTCTGGGGCCAAAATGGCTGCTTTAATTAGGCCGTACTTATTTTGCCTATTACCGCCTCAGTCTCCAGTAACTTATTTTATTAAAGTTGTGGATAAAATGGATTGTCTTAAAGCTAGGGTTCCTATTGTGTGGATTCGGTTTTGACAGCCGCACGCTGCGAAGTGCTAAAGGCGGTTAGCTAAGCTAGCACGTCGAATCTAGCGTGGTAAATGAGAGTCCACGCTGGTTTCGGTGGAAAATTCACCTCACAGGTGCTAGGAACCGTGTGTATAACGGACACTTCTTGGATACACAAGATTAAATTTTTTTTCTTCTTCTTCACTCTTGGCAGTCCCACCGTAAGTTTTCGGCTCCGCGACACGGATCCCTGGGCTTTCTGCCCCGCAAGAGGAGTCGTCGTCACCGCGGTAAGGTCAAGAGCTTCCCCAAGGATGACCCCAGCAAACCCGTTCACCTGACTGCCTTCCTGGGCTACAAGGCCGGCATGACTCACATCGTCCGGGAGGTGGACAGACCTGGCTCAAGTAAGTGCAATTAGACTGCAAATGTAATACAGCAAACCCTCGAATTTAAAAAGAGAAGTCATAGTTGGTGATTGGACCTTTTTCACAGTAGCAACTTTAGCTTCTGTCTGCAAGAGAAGCAAGTGTAATAAATGCATGACGATGCATCTTAACTTGATCATTGTTGCTGATGGTGGTAAAGTTAATGAAAGCTACCAATCGCCTCCTTTTTCAGCATTAGTGTTAAAGTTTGGAATTAAAAAGAAAAACGCAGTTTTAAATTATTTCCTGAAAGTTTGACAGCCAGAGAAAAAATAAGTGACTGCCATTAATGGCAGATTAAGCACTATTTGGCAGGTTCTGTTGAAATATCACTGTAATAATACTTATAACAAAGAAAATGTAATTAATGATACTAATTGTGTAGATGGTCATTTATATCTATGGGAAGTGAGTATTTAATACCTTCCTAGGGGATCTTACAATATACAGATACTTTAAAACTAAAAACCTGAATAAGTTTAATCGGCTGTCATTCTCATTTTAATTTAATTTTTTTTTTGTAAAACAAGCCTCGTCTGCAGTGAAAAAGGTCTAGGGTTAGTTATGGTGTTCTGCCTGTGATGATTCCCTCGACGGGCGGACAGAATGGGTCTATAGCCCCTTGCTGAATGTCGAGCACTGAGCGCAGTTTCTACCATGAGTAAACAAATCTAATGAGTTGAAGAAGTTACTGATTATATCAACTATTAGTCAAAATTAATCAACGCTTTCTCTTACAGAGGTGAACAAGAAGGAAGTGGTTGAGGCAGTGACCATTGTGGAGACTCCTCCCATGATCGTGGTTGGTGTTGTGGGTTACGTCAACACACCTCGTGGTCTGCGCTCCTTCAAGACAGTCTTCGCTGAGCACATGAGTGATGAGTGCAAGCGTCGCTTCTACAAGAACTGGTGAGTCTTGGGGACAAAATGAAGCTCATCCCGTTGCAATGAAAGTGCTTGAAGCAGATGTTAGTTGCTGGTGGAAATGTTAGGAACTGCATTTTCACTGAGCGAGTCTAACATCACGGTGGCCCTCTGTGGCAGCTCCGCTCAGGTGCCCCGTGCCCTGATGAGCTCCGGGCTCCTCTGGCCAGTGGAAAGTGCTTCTTAGAAACTGTGCCATGAGCCGAAACCCTCACTAGCTGATACAGCCCTTCTGTCCACACGGAGGCAGGGCAAGCAGCTATGCACTGCGTTCTTCCGCTGCCCCTCATGGGGGTTATGAAGGACCTGTGCCAACCTATGTGTTGCTTCATGCTCTCAGGTACAAGTCCAAGAAGAAGGCTTTCACTAAATACTGCAAGAAATGGCAGGATGAGGAGGGCAAGAAGCAGCTGGAGAAAGACTTTGCAGCCATGAAAAAATACTGCCAGGTCATCCGTGTCATTTGCCACACACAGGTTGGTTTGTTCCCTTGATTTTCTGTTGATTTTTCTTGAATGTCTGTCAGTGAAGAGACCACGGAACTCGCGTCAGGCATGGCGCCCGAAACTTATGAGGATATCTTCCATG